ATGTTGGCAATTTGATCTCTGGTTCCTCTGCCTTTTCTAAAACCAGCTTGAACATCTGGAAGTTCATGGTTCATGTATTGCTGAAGCCCGGCTTGGAGAATTTTGAGCATTACTTACTAGCCTGTGAGATGAGTGCAATTGTGCAGTAGTTTGAGCATTCTTTGGCATTGCCTTTCTTTGGGATTGGAATGAAAACTGACCTTTTCCAGTCCTGTGGCCACTGCTGAGTTTTCCAAATTTGCTAGCATATTGAGTGCAGCACTTTCACAGCATCATCTTTCAGGATTTGAAATATCTCAACTGGAATTCCATCCCCTCTACTAGCTTTGTTCATGGTGATGCTTCCTAAGGCCCACTTGACTTCACATTCCAGGATGTCTGGCTCTGGGTGAGTGATCACACCATCGTGATTATCTGGGTCATGAAGATCTTTTTTGTACAGTTCTTCTGTGTATTCTTGCCACCTGTATTTAATATCTTCTGCTTCTGTTAGGTCCCTTCCATTCCAAACCTGGCACAATTTCTGGGTTGAGTAAGGAAAACTAAGTACTGAGTTCTGTACTGATATCTGGGTAACACTCACAACACTGGTACGAGGAAATGGACAAGAGAGTATCACCTGATATTGTAGATAGAATTTCAAAGGCAAAGAAGCCCTAGTATAGCAACCTTATTTTTTTTTCCATTTCCACTCATCTTTTAGGTTCTAACTTTGCAATTAGGTTCCATCAGATCAGGTTGTGAATAGATATACACTCATGGTTCTGTGTCGGTCATTGTTCTAAATGAGTCAACCAATTATGATCCCCCCATCTAGGAAAGCGATAGAGATGTGGGCATATGTTCCTGCGGGCGTTAGCAAATGCTGCCATGGAGGGAAAGGTCATTAACTGAAACAAACATCAGCAACATCAATAGCTAATCTTTAATAAACACCTTCTACTATGTCAAATGTTTTAATCCCTCAGAATTTTGCAAGGTAGTTGTGTGCGTGCGTGATAAGTCGCTTCAGTCATGTCCGACTCTTTGAAACCCTATGGACTGTAGCCTGCCAGGCTCCTCTGTCCGTGGGATTTTCCAGGCAAAAATACTGGAGTGAGTTGCCATGCTTTCCTCCAGGGGATCTTCTCAACCCAGGAGCCGAACCCCCATCTCTTAGCAAGGTAGCTTTTTTTTATCTCAGTTTTGTTGATTATAAAAGAAAAACTGAAGTTGAGAGAGGATAACTGATAGGCTGAAACTATCCCACAACTACTGGGCAACTGTAATCAAAATTAAGTCCGTATATTTCTAGCTAAAAATTTCATGTTCTTTATGCCATGCTAGCAGATTAGACAAGGTATAAGTAGCCAAGGATTTTTTTTTTTTAAGCTATTGTGCTAGGTACAGATAATGCACTAAGAATAGCTGGGTAAGAGTGGTGTCTAAACCTTTGGTTTATACTAAGTAACTTGGTAACTTAATTTAGAATTATCGGTTAACAAGATTCATGCTAATTTTTACTTTAATGTTTTTGGCTTTGTTGAGGTATAGTTGACAAATAAAATTGTAAGATATTTAAAGCAAACAACATGATGATTCACTGAATATTTTTCCAAAGAACAACTTTCAGTTATATAACCACAATGCAATGTATCAATCCAAGAAATTTAACACCAATACAAAACTATCATTTACTATATAGTCTATGTATAGGTGACATTGTATCCTTAGTGCATTGCATTGGGAGGTAGGTATTATCAGTTTGTCCTGTTATTAGTGGTATTAAGTTTGACCACCAGATTTTTCTGTTATAAATGTAAAGGTATTATTTTACTTTGGTAATTAACATTTGGGGAATACTTCTGATGATATCAATATCATTTTCTCTGATAGTCTTTCACCCAGTCATTTTAGGATACATTGATGAAATCACATTGAATTGATTTTTATAATGATGGTTACAAAATATCTAGATTCTTAATAAAACTAGCTATTTTATAAATATCTTAAACCTCAGTAACCTACCAATTTCTTTCCCCTCCTCAGATTTATTGAGATATAATTGACATGGAACATTGTGTAAGGTTAAGATGTACAACGTGTTGATTCAATACATTTATATATTGCAAAATGATTACCACTATAACATTAGCTAACACTTCCATCCTGTCACATAATTACAATTGCTTTATCATGGTAGGAATATTTAAGATATATTCTTTGCAGTATCCCAGACAGTTTGACATGTTGCACTTTTCATTTCCATTTGTTTTGAGACATTTCTTGATTTACTTTGATTTCTTCTTTGACCCATTGGTTGTTCAGGAACATGTTTAACTTCCACATATTTGTGAATTTTCCAGTTTCCTCCTGTTACTGGTTTCTGGCTTCATACCATTGTGGTCAGAAAAGATACTCATGATTTCAGTCTTTTTAAATTTACTAAAACTTGTGTGAGACCCATCATTTACTCTATCCTAGAGTATGTTCCGTGTGTGCTTGAGAAGAATGTGTA